GCCTCTGCCTCAGAAGCTATTTCCCGATTCTTTGTGTGGCTGGCTCTGACTTTGCAGTCTAACATGTCCTCTCTTCCCCATCTTTGTTACCACATTTTATCCTGTTTTACTTTCTATGAAGTGAATCCATGTATGAAACCTTCTTGTGCAGTTGTTTATTTATTGTCTCATCTTCTTTTCTCACTGGAATGGAAACTCCACGAGAGTGTTGCTCTTTTTTCTTCTTGATCTGTTTTGCGTGATTTGAGTTGGTCCCTACATTCTCCAGTTGATCGGAGGGGCTATTTATTCTAAGTCTCATCATGAGTTCATAGATGTAAACATACTTCATGCATTTCAACCAATAGATATTTGTTTAATGAATGGGACATTGAATGAATGCAAGTTAAGAACTTTCTATAGGCTCTCAGGTTTTTTTTTTTTTTCTTTTCAGACTTTATAGTCCCAGATTTTATATGAAAAATCATTGTATGATTTTTTTCTAGGGTTAATTCTACTCTTTGAGTATTTTCTTAGTACTCTGGGGATTTATTGAATAAACAACATAGGCCCTGCTTTTATGGAGACTTTTATCCATCTGCTACTGAACACAAGAGTTTTAATTAGATCTTGAATTATTTTATTATCAAAACCTGCTGTTGCATCCTCTGCACCTGTCACCTAGTAGGAGTTCACAAAAGTATTTTTAACATATTTATAATGGAAAATTTTAAGCACATGCAAAAGTAGAGAGAGTAGTATAACAAACTCACTTTTACCCATCATTCAGCTTCAACAATTGTCAAACCAAGACCAATCTGACTTTAACTAATTCCTTATGTTGAAGCAGATTCAAGACATCATGTCATTTTATCAGTAAATATTTCAGAGCATATCTCTAAGATATAAGAATTACTTAGAGTAAATAACCACAATACCATTATCACATCTAAGCAAATTTATAATAATCTCTGAATATCATCAAATATGCAGAGAGTGTTCAAAATTTCCTACATGTTCTCTCTCTTTCTCTCTCTCTCTCTTTTTTTTAAGTTTATTTGAATCAGGCTAAGAAGTTCCTTAAATTGCAGTGGGTTTATTATCTCTTTTTAGTCTCTTTTAATCTATAGTTTTCTCCCTTTCTTTTTTCTTTCTTGAAATCTGTTTGTTTAAGAAACTAGGTTGTTTGTCCTGTGGAGTGTTCCATAGTCTGAGTTTACTCGTTGCATTCCAGTGGTGGTGTTTAGCATGTTCCTCCATCCTCTGCAATTTCTGTAAATGGGAAGTAAAAAGTTTGATAAGAGTCAGGCTTATTTATTTGGAAAGAATACTTCAACTTCATATTCGTCCATGGAGGCACATCATGTCTGATTTTCTCTCTGTGGTGTTAGGGATATTGATTCTCATTGTCCAGATGCAGTCTTTCATTAGGGTTTGCAAAATATTATTATTCCAATTCTATCACTCTTTCTGCATATGTTAACTGAAATATTTTATAGGAAGAAAATTGCCCTTATTTAGGTATAGTTTGTATAAGAAAGGCATATAAATGCTTGATTCTCTCTCTTGATCAGTTTTCAAAATAATGAGTTGGTCTCTACATTGTCCAGTTGATCAGTGGAGTGTTTAAATATCATCATGAGCTCATAGATTTAAACATACTTGATGCATTTTAATCAATGGATATTTGTTGAATGAATGAGAAATTGAATAAAAGAAAGTTTAGAATTGTCTCTATGCTTTCAGGTTTTTTTTTTCCCTCCACTCCAGACTTTGTAGTCCCAGATTTTATAAGTAAAACTGTTGTATGATTTTGTTCTAGGGTTAATTCTACTGCTTGAGTATGTCCTTAGTACCCTAGGATTTTTACTGAATGAACAACATAAGCCTTACTTTTATGGATACCTTTATCCATCTGCTACTAATCACACCATTTTTAATTAGATGTTAAATATTTTCTTGAAACCTGCTGAAGTGTTTGCCACCTGGGAAGGTGTTGGTCACTGATCAATTGCACTTACCTAGTCTTGGCCCCAGCTCCTATACTGTGGCTTTGGGCCATCCCCGCCCCTCTGGGCCTCAGTTTCCCCATATGAACATGTAGGGATGGCACTATGTCATTATGAAGGCTCTTTCCTATCCTTACATTTTGGGTAGCTCTCCTTCCTGCATACTACATGTGACCTCTAAGTAAAGGCCATGTAAGCAGCATCAGAGGGGCAAGCAAGGTTTCAGGATGGTAGGGTGGGAATGAGGAGTGAGACCCACAGGCCACGGTGAGAGCCTACCCTGCATAATCCAACAAGCAGCTCAAAAGGACCCCTCGCTGTAATACACCTACCATTGCCTGTGTGGTTTTCTTTAATAACTTCCTGGAGTTTGGTGGGAACGGGAGGTGCCAACTAGGTTAGGAAAGATTTCTGGGATTCTTTGGTAGTCTCCAAAGGAGGAAAGACTAGGTGCTGGATACAAGAAGCAGTTTCAAAGTATGAGCCTTTAAGCATGTTGATTGGATGTCTGAACTGTCCCCCACCAGCCCTGGGCTTCCTGTTCAGTCATCTCTACCACCTGTCACTGTTGCCCTTTTTGGAGGCTGAGACAACCTTGCCAACTGTCCTGCCCATATAAGAATTCAGACATCTGGAGTGCCAGAGTCTGCTGACTCTCCCTTTTGTCAACTGCAGGGTTAGATTGCCTGGTAATCGGTAGCCAGAATCCATGAGCCATTTGATGAGCAGACCTGCTGCTGAGCTATTGTCTGCTTTTCACCCTCCAATTGCAGGGCCTCCATTTCCCCGTCCATTTCATCATGCAACCCAAGCACCCAGGTAGAAGGCCTGTTGACCTGATGCTCCCATGGACCTGCTGAGGTATGTTAAGATGATGAAATGTCTCTTCCTTCTGCCTCCCACACTAGCTACCAACATCTAGGAGCTGATGGGCTTTGTGCTCCTTCAGGAATAAGGGCTTGGCTGATGATAGGGTGTGGTGGCTTATATGGCATCATCCACAGCTCTTCTCAGTCCCTAGATGGTAGATAGAGAGAAGCAGCTGGCAGGAGGCTACTATCTTGCCTCCAGTCCATCAGACTCACAGTTCTTCTTAATCACTGCCATTGCTAATTCTTACTGAGTGTGGACAGTGGGCAGGTAACTCTATGAAGGAGGAGAGATGCTCTTTACCTGCAAGGGGCTTGCATGATGGAGAGCACCTGTAGGTAATGTTAGCCCTTTCTTCCATTTGATGCGGTTGGGGATGGATGAGTAGATGGTCAGTCACATCAGTGGTTGGAAACCATCCCAACAGATGGCCTCCTGGTGTTTATTTGGAAGTGCTGAAACAATTGGATATCCATAAGCAGGAAAAACAAGATTACCTCACACCATATACAAATATTAACTCAAAGTGGATCACAGACCTGAAAGGAAGAGCAAAAACTGTAAAACTTCTATGAAAATGTTTTGACCTTAGGGCAAAGATTTCTTAGATATGACTCCAAAAGCACAATCCATAGGTGAAACATTGATAAATTGGATTTGGGAAAAATATTTGTACATCATATATCTGATAAGGGACTTATATTCTATATATATGTATATAGAACCCTTAAAATGCATTAAAAAGTCAAACAACTCAATTTAAAAATGAGCAAAAATATGCATGGGGATTTCAGCAAAGAAGATACACAAATGATTTTTCTACACATGAAAATATGCCCAACATCATTAGTCAGTAGGGAAATGCAAATTAAAAACACAATGATATACTACTTTACACTCACTAGAATGGATATAATTTTAAATTCAAAAATGGAAGTCTTATACAATACTGCTGGGAATGTAAAATTGTACAGCTGCTTTGGAAAACAGTTTGACAGTTTCTTAAGTTAATTATAAGTTTACCATATGACCCAGCAATTCCACTCCTAAGTTTTTTACTCAAGAGAATGAAAACATATGTCCATGAAATGACTTGCATGCAGATATTCACAGCAGCATTATTCGTAATAGCCAAAAGGTGGAAACCATCCAAATGTTTATCAACTGGTGAATGGATAAACAAAATGTGGTATATCCATACAATGGAATATTGTTCATCAATAAAAAGGAATGAAATACTGACACACATTACAATATGGATGAATGCCAAAACACTGTGCTAAGTTATTGAGGCCAGATTTTAAAAATGTTGAATGAATCCTAGAAATGTCCAGAAATGACAAATCTACAGAAACAGAAAGTAGATCAGTGGTTGCCTAGAATTAGGGGTAGGAGGAGTTATGGCGCCTGAGGGACATTTACGGGGTGGTAGACATGCTCTAAAATTCGATTGTGGTGAGAACTCTATGAATTTACCAAGAATCATTGAACTTTATAAATTTACTCAAATTCATTGAATAATTTACAATGAATTTTATGATATGTTAATTATACTTCCGTAAAACTGCTTAAGATAAAAAAGAAAGAAAGACAGGTAGATTCCAGAATGCATTTTGCCAAAGGAACCACCTAGGACAGGGAGAGAAGGGGAGAGTGGGCTTAGACCCTGTGGGACAAGTCTCAGTCTCCAGGGAAGGCTGCAGGCCACTGGTGTAAGGATGTCCCATTCCCCTCTGCAGGAGTGGCAGTCTTGGGCAGCATCAGCTTACAATACCCTGCTCCCAGGCTTGTTCTCTCTTTCTCACCCACATATCTGGGACCATTCCTGCTCTCTGAACCCCTCAGCCCACCATACCTTTGACTTGCAGTCACAGACTTGCCCCTCTCCCTGCTCTGATGTCACCATCCCTCTCGCCCACTCCATTGTTCTGAAGCCTAGGTCCTCTGATGAGCATGCCCTGCTTTCTAGTGTACATCACTGGGCCATGGATGGCTAGGCTTGGAGTTGTTGGGAGATGGTCTCAAACCTAGGTAGGAGGAAGATACGGTAGAGAAGCTTACTGGACAGAGAAGGGTGGGGTAGCAGGAGCTGAAGGAACAGAGTGTGGGACATGGGTGGAGGGGAAGCATAAAGACCCTGAGATGCATACATGGTGCATCCTGGTGCTACAGGAGGAACTAGAGCAGACCCATGAAGGCCCATTCCAGGGCCACAACCCAGTGACTGGAAGTAGGAAGCTCAGAAGCTGCAAAGGAGTTTGTGGTTGGCTTTGCTGGATTTTGAGAAACAAGACACACTGTGTTCCCCTCACATCCCCCATACCAGATTGATGTTTGTCATTGGTTTAGTTTACTTCCATGTATAAAGCAGCCATAATTTTGGAGCCCTTATTATGTAGAAGACTCTATAGAAAGCCTGTGATAGCACTGATTTGTTTAATCTTCACAAAATCCTTTGAAGTAGGTGCTATTATTACCACTCCATTTTGCAGATGATGGAACTACATACAGCCCAGAGAGTAAAGTAAGTTATTCAAAGTATGAGAATCGATCACAGTTATCTTAGTTCCTGCATTCCCCCAGGTTCCTGCTCAAGGATAGATTTGGTGGGGTAAGAGGCCAGACTCCTAAAGGCCCAGTGTGAGAAGACTTCAGACCTTCAGACAAGTGTATCCACTATACCTGGCAGGGGAAGAGTATGGAAAGGAGTAAGAGAAGAAGCTGATGTCTCCTCCCTCAGAAGAGAGGGATAGGTCTTCCCAAGGAGGTGTTGTGAGACCCCAAGGGGCCTGAGGCTGCCTGTCTCCTGGAGGGAGAGGAACCATGCTGGGCAGGGCACCCCACGCCCAAACCCCAACCTCAGATGGCAAGAAAGACCAGCTGCACACCCAGCTACATTAGTAATGTGCAGATAGGTAGAAGCCTGGACCAGCAGGTCTGTCCACCTTCTTGCGCCCTCTGCCCTGAACACTGCAAAACTACCACCTTCTCTGGCCACAGCCAGATGGGTGGGATCTTTTGAAAGAATGGTCTGTAAGACCTGTGTGCTGATGGACAAATGGACCGAGAAAGGCATTGCCAGCACAATCCATGAAAGAGAGAGGAAGAGGGAGTTTGGGAGCTGGCACAGGCTGTGCCCAGAGAAACCTAGTCGTGCATCTTTCTTAGGGATCATAGCAAAGAGGGGCCTGGGCCTAAAACTTTCTAGTGACAAAGGAATCTTAAAATTCCACAGAAATTTTAACATCTCTCATATGCCTTGATATTCAGCCTCCACTTTTTGAGCACGTACTATGTGCCTAGCTTCCTGGACAGAGAACTTTGCATAGAACTTGGCAGGCTCGTGCCGTTTGCTGACTACTCTTTCCTTTTCTCTGGTTTCTATAACTGCAGTAACCTCATTGGGAGGTCACTGGCATAAGAGTTCTTGTGAGCAGACAGCACAGTGCTCCAATATCTAGCAACCAGCATCACAGTGTGAAGCCCAAATAGTTCTGGGTTAGGAATGTATCAGAAATCATGGACATAAGTAAAAACAAGCAAAAAAAAAAAAAAAAAACACACCGAAAACCAAAGAAACACTAAACAGTTACCCATGATTGCATCTTCTCAGAGGATTAATGCCTCTCTTGGGCTTAGACAGTAATAACCCGGAAGGCTAGAATGAGTTGATAATGGAGTGTTGAGCCTACAGAGTGATGGTGACATATTTCTGGGCCCATGCCTACATCCAAATGGATACCCATGCCTGCATTCAGTTGGTGCCACATGAGGAGACTTCTGCCTTCATTCAAATAAAATATATGCCCCTTTATCCAATTGAGACCCATACCTTTCCTCAAAAAGGGGCTTATGCCTCAATTTAAATGGAGCCCATGCCTCCATCCAACTGGTTCATGTGGAGACTTCTGCTTGCTGTTGCTGCCACAGATCCCCTGACCCCATTAGTGCAAACACTCTGAAAGGCTCTGCTCTAAATCCTAGTTTGGGAGTAGGCCTCTATCACCACCTTACCTCCTAGAGCCCAGCCATCGTCACATAGATGGTGATAGTGGAGCGCTGGGCAGAAGACCATGGCAGTGGAGTCCTGCAGTCCTGAGCTCCCTTGTGGCAGCTCTCCTTCTCTTTCCCTTCAGCTTGATTGTTATTCCAAAGGCCTCGTTATGGAAATTACAAAATAATGGTTCTGCATTTTGTTAGTATGTGGTTGTATGTACGCTAATTATCATTCCTGGGTACCCTCTCTCAGAGGCACTGCAGAGGAATCCAGAGACATGGCTCTCTCTTCGTTGTAGCTTTGCTGTTCTCCCCTTCGCTGCCTCCCTTCACCCCAGCCGGAGTGTTGAGTAGACATGGCCATCCCAAGCCAATTTCCTGTGTCCAGCGGGGTACCTGGAACTTAAGGGTGCCCCTGGCTGGATAGACTTAGGACAGTGCATCTGTGTAGCAAGTGCACTGTTTTAACAGAGATCCTGTTTGTTTGAGGTGGCTTTAGTAGATAATGAGGGATGGGCAAATGTTCCACTGCACTTCATGGGATTGTCATTGTGTGGCAATGCTGCCTCCCTGGCCTGCGTACTTCTCCCTAGCTGTTATTTGTAAGGTTGAGAAAGAGAAAGGGGAGAGAGGAATCTCCTGGGGAAGCGAGGTATTCCTGCAAAGCCTGGTCCAGGTGTGATGCTCTCTGCAGGGCAAAACCATGGACTCAGAGGGAGGCTTCACAGAGGAGGTAGAGTGCCCAAGGGCAAGATTTCAGAAGGGAAAAAGTGGGCCCAGAGAGAAGGGAGAGGGGTGCAGGAGGAGAAATTCTGCCCAAAACCAAAACTCCTATGGCTAAGGACAAAGTTAATCAGATTCTTTTGAAAGGAAATTGTTTCTGGGGGTAAGTGAAGCCTTCTTAATAATAAAGGGTGAATCGCTCCAGTCTAATTACCCCTGGGGACACTTGGGGGTGGGGCACAGGTAGCACCATCAGAGATCCAAGACTGAATAGTCTGAGGAGAGAGTGGTCCTGGAGGAAGGGAGGGGCAGCAGGTGTGAAAAGGGTTCAGAGACTGGGCTGGTGGCAGTGGGACAATTTGGCCTCTTTAGGATTTCAGTGCTGGTGAGAATGGCTGGAAGTCACAGTCAGAAGCTTCAAACCGCACTTTGGGAGGCCGAGGCGGGCGGATCACAAGGTCAGGAGATCGAGACCATGGTGAAACCCCGTCTCTACTAAAAAATAGAAAAAAATTAGCCGGGCGCAGTGGCGGGCGCCTGTAGTCCCAGCTACTTGGGAGGCTGAGGTAGGAGAATGGCATGAACCCGGGAGGCGGAGCTTGCAGTGAGCCGAGATTGCTCCACTGCACTCCAGCCTGGGCGACAGAGCGAGACTCCGTCTCAAAAAAAAAAAAAAAAAAAAAAGAGGCTTCAAACCACACCTTCCTTGTACTTTGATCAGGCTTGAGTGAGCTACTTAACCTCTCTGTAGCTTAGTTCCTGCATCTGTGAAATGGTATAATAATAGCACCTACTTCATAGTCTAGTGGGAGAGTCCCACATGACAATATAGCTAAGCCCTTAGCACAGTGCCCACCCAGAGCAAGTCCTTGCCCATGATGGTTATTCACTGTCATTATTGTGCATTGCTATTGTGTTGTTTTGAGAATTGAGTGATATAATTCCTGTACAGCATCTGGCACAGTGCTTGGAACTTAACTACTGAATATTCACCATTGACTGTTGCTTTTACATCCAGCCTCTTCCAATTCAGACAGGCATCCTCCATTGCAGATCTCCATCCTATCTCCATCTAGAGACTTGAGGAGAATCAGGTGAAGGAGGGGAGGGGAGGAGGAAGAAGGAGGAGGTTAGCTCAGGGTTCTACCTTACCTTCTCCTCTATCATCACCAGAGCATGTGGAGTCTGAGGAATTTCATAGTCTTGGTGCTTTTGAATATGTTCCTCAGAAGTTCTCAGAATGTGCAGCTTAAGTGTTTGGGGAGAATTGTTTTTACCTATTTTAGAACAAAAAGCTGTGTATTAACCATGTGTATGGAGGGTGGAGGGAGATTACGTAAAAATATTCTGGGGTTTTCGAGTAGAATCAGATTTGCTAAAGGGGCTTACAAAATTCTCACAAGGATGGAGAGACAAAGGTTAGCATAGGCCACTGAGCACTTTTAGGTTGGCCACTAATTATTAGGGAACCAGTAGCCAGAAGACCCTGGCAGGGATGGTCACTGCTTCTAGCACCGAGGCAGGTAGGGCATAGAAAACACCTGGAGGTTACTGCAAAATATCATGTCTGCCAAAACGCGTGGGCTGCTCTCCACCACTGCCCAAGGAGCTTCTGTTCTCTTCACCTCCTGTGTCTGGTAGGAGAGCTTCTCATTGATGGACTCTAACCCAGACCCCTAGAGGCTGGTGTTCTGAGAAATATGGCTTACATGTTTCCAGCCCCTCTGAGCCTGAGAGGAGTATAATGGGGGCTGATTTGACAGCAGACAATCCACTGATGTGAATGTGACCTCCTCAATACCTAAATGGCAATGATCATGGATGCAGAGGCAGGGCCAACACCAGGACAGCAAGAGGGCACAGAATGCTCACCAATTTGCTGTAGGCAGAAGACACAGAGCTGCATAACTTCTGCGGGGAAAGAGGAGAAGAGGAGGAGGAGGGCTGTGTGTGCTTCCCTGTCAGGCAGATGGAACAGCAGCAGGAGTGGGGAGATCCAAGCAGAAGGCCCAGGCTGGGAGGCATGAATTGCAGGCTCTTCCCAGCATGGGTGATTGGCAGGAGAGGCAGGACTCAGAGGCTTACAGAAAATGTGCCTTGTCCCCAAAGGACCCTAAAACTGGGTCAGGACTGATAGAAGAGACTGGGGAAGCATGTTCCATGGGAGAACTGCAGGGGCACTGTGGACAGACATGAGAGCCAAAGAACCGTTGCAGATATACAGTCTTATAATTAACTCAATTCAACAAGTACTTGAAACAGCCACGTGGTCTGGGCAGGACCTTGGACACAGAAGTGTGCAAAGATAAGCTGGTTACAGGCTGTGCTCTCAGAAGAGTTTCTCGAGAGTCCAAATAATGATGATGATGATGATGATGATGATGATGAACTAACTCTTCTGAGTGCTTGCCATGCAAATCACTGTACATGCATTATCACATTCCTAATTTACAGATGGGGATCCTGAGGCTTAGAGAAGTTAGTGACTTGCCTGTGGTCACCACATAGCTT